TCAGCCACCTGCATCCGCTCAGATGACACACGCCACACAGAGAGAGGAGACATCTGTGCGTGTGAGTCCCGCCTGTCCCGCTGTGTGCCCATCTGTCTCTGCGTACCAGTTGTTGGAGTGTCCTCACTCCTTCGTCACACCGCTGCACCTCACACACCGCACGACGTCTGCAGCACACCACACACAGATCCAGGCACCAACCGTCCAGACAGCACATGCATCATTTCGGCGTGTGACGCGGCCGTCGTGTGCATGACGTCCACCTGTGCCGCCAGCAGCCGCCAACAGCCGCCTGTGTGCCGACAGAGAGAGGACAGCTGACAGATCTCGTGCAGGGCCGTGAGTAAGGCTGACAAGGAGCCAATTGGCAGACCCGTGGTGGGGCAGGGCGACAACAGGGCGGCACAGCCAGAGGGTTTGAGGGGCTATAGGGTTTCAAACCCTTAACCCTACGAGCTGAGTTATGGCGGCGTGTGCCTTTCGGACAGCTGTGCGTTGTGAGTGTGGCGCATTCGGCCGAGAGAACGGCTTAGAGAGGGCAGCTCGCGGTTCCTTTCCCTTTGTGTGTTTGTCTGTGTATGTCAGCCGCTCGACGGCCACCACACAGAGAGCGATGATCATCACTGACTGTGTAAGTTGACCACCACGCCACTCACAGTCAGCACACCGACACACGCAGGCAGCATCAAGCAAGCATCTCAATCCCATCTCTCTCTCTCCTTCCCACACACACATACACATCAGCAGCAATAGAGAGACAGAGAGGCACACAAAGGACATGCAGTGTGATGCGCACATAGCTCCATCCGCGGGTGTCAGTGTGTGTTTATCGACATGGGATCATCACAGCAGCGCATCTTCATTCCCTCGCCCACCCCTCTGTGGGCATCTCTGTCACTGCCCGGCAACCCTAAAGCACCAACACCCTTCGTGGGCTGACGCTCTCAGGTTGCCGGAGAGTTTCTGAGATGCCCACAGAGAGAGGGGGGGTGTGGAAGGACACGGGGCGAAAAACCGAAAACTCTCAGGCAGCCAGATAAACCAGCCACACGACACAGACAAAAGACAGCTGGCGACAGTCAGCCGATGGAATGAATGCTTCACTTTGTGTGTCTGTCTGTCGGCCGCTCGATGGCCACCACACACAGAGAGTGTCGATCATCACTGTGTTAGATGACCAAAGAGGACAGGACACCAACACACGCAGGCAGCATGCACCACCGAAGAAGAACCAAGCACCAACACGTAGTATGACATCATGACGGACGGCAAAGCGGCCCGTCCCATATCTCTCTCTCGTTCCCACGCAGATCGCGTCAATCCGTCAACACGAGTGGGTGTGTGTACAAGTACGACACACAGACAGACGGATGGCAGGAGACAATAGCCAGCACAACGACACACGCAGGCCGCCGCACCAAAGAACCAAACAGACCCATCTCTGTCCCTCTCGCTCCCTCCCCGCCGTCCAGACACTCACCGACGCGTCGGGCACACATCCCATACACAGAGTAGAAAGAAAGGCGCACATCCATTGTGTGTGTGTGCATATCAACGACTCAGACGCAGACAGGCAGGCAGACAGATAAAACAGATCTCTCTCTCTCTCTCTCTGTATGTGTGTGTGTGTGTCCATTTCCTCGCCCGCCCCTCTGTGCGCATCTCTGTCGCCGCCCGGCAACCCCAAAGCACCAACACCCTTCGTGGGCTGACGCTCTGCCGTCACCCGACGATGATGAAGATGCCACAGAGAGAGAGGGGAGGACACACATATCTGTCTGTGTGAGTCTCATCTGATTGTCTGTCTGCTCACTGCCCACACCACTCAGCGCTCCCCAATGCAGCGGACATGTCAGCCACTCAGTCAATCAGAAGCCCCACCCACAAGCAGCACTCAAGAGACTGAGGTATGTGAGTGTCACACAAACCATCAGCACTGAGTGAGTGTATTCTCATACCACACAGACAGACAGACAGACAGAGGGAATCCACCCACCCAAGCAACAAAATATCAGCCGCTGCCGGTTACCCAGGTCGAATACGCAGAAAGCAGCTCGTTGTTCCTTTCCCGTCCTTTGTGTGTCTGTCAGCCGCTCGATGGCCATCACACACAGAGCAATGATCATCACTCACTGTGTGAGATGGCCATGGTGTTCTTAACAGCCAGCACACCGACACCCGCATGCAGCACCGAATAAGCATCTCCGTCACTCACACAGTAAGGCAAAACACAATACTGGACCACGGAAAAATGGACTCACAGACACACAAACAGATGAACATATCGCTCTCTCTCTCTCTGTGTGTCCGTCCCCTCCCCCGCCCCTCTGTGTGCATCTCTGTCACCGCCCGGCAACCCTAAAGCGCCAACACCCTTCGTGGGCTGACGCTCTGGCGTTGAAGGACGATGGGCAAGGTGCCACACAGAGGGAGAGGACACACAAACGAGGTCTCTCTCTCTCAGGCAGGCTATCTGTGTGTGTGTGTCGGTCTGTCTGTCTGTCTGTGAGCCGGCCGTGTGTGACGGATGCATCGACGAGAGATCAACACACTCTCGCGAGCAGCCGTTAAACATGCCCGTCCCACAGACAGACGGCCACCGCCACCCCACACAGCGATTCCTTTGTGCAGCCAGCCAGCCAATCCTCCCTCTCTGTCTGTCTGTCATCTCTCCCCCGCCCCCCACTCATCGGCCGACACACTCACGGCAGCAGACGGCTGACAAGTGACGGGAGATGAAGACATGACAATGGCAGCCAGACCGACCGACACACAAAGCCCCACAACACAACACAGTGAGATCGACGCACATACGACCAAAAGGCGACAGAGTGAGAGACTCAGTTCAGTTCAGGCAGCCCGTCCGTCGGCTCATCGGCCGATCTCTCTCCCTTCAGCACATATCATCGCCATCAGCGCGTCGAAGCCATCAGAGAGCCACTCAGACAGCCACACACTGAGGACACACAGACAGACAGACATCTGTGTGTGTGAGTCCTGCCTGTGTCCCAATCTGTGTGTGTGCCCATCTCTCTCGGCGTACCAGTTGGTCGAGTGCAGTGTTGTCGCCAGGCACCGCCACCCCGCCCCGCCACACGACATCTGCAGCCCACCACACACACAGACAGATGACCACCACCACCACCCGTCATCACAGCGCCATGCATCACCTCGGCGTGTCACTCACCCGTCATGTGCATCGGTCGCCCCGTGTGTGTCGGTGTGCCAGCGCACGAGAACAGAGAACAGAGAACCGAGGGAGGGAGGGAGGGAGAGAGGGAGGGGTGAGGGCAGATGACAGATCTCGTGCAGTGGGCCGTCACGGAGGGCTCAACGGGCCCGACAAGGGGCGGGGCAGGGCGGCCAGAGGGTTTGAGGGGTCAAGGGTAGGGTTTGAAACCCTGAACCCCACGAGCTGGGCTCGCATGAAAGGCCCCCGCCAGACCCCCAGCCTTTGCCGCATTCTCTTCGCCTGTTTGTCTCTTTTGTCGTGTCAATGGTCTCACTGCGGAGCGGTCAATGTGATGAAATAAGAAAACGAATTTGCCAAAGTCGGTGATCGAGTGACGATCGAATTGCTCTTTTTCTCAAAGCTGACACATTCGTTTGGCCATTTCGGTGCAGAGATTGTCCAGTGAGAGCCCAAAGGGCCATCCAGTGAGAGAATGGAGGGCTGAGAGAGGAAAAGCTTGTTCCTCCAGCTCGCACCTCCAACAGTGCGGTCCGCGCACAAAGATGGCGAGTCGGCGGGAGCGTCAATGGGGAGAGCTTTACAAGAAGTCTGAGTGGAGAGATCTGCAATACCCGAGCGATGAGCCCGGAGAGGGAGAGAGTCTCTCTGATCTCTCTTTCCCTAATGGTGTGCTCACCCAGCGGTCTCACTCACTGCTGTCTTATTCATCAGGCTGGGCTGCCTGTGGCTGGACTGACGAGAAAGGCTTTCTTTCGTCCACGCGATGACACGGCATTGCAGGTGTGCTGCGCTGCTGATGGTGACTGTCAGCTTGGTGGTGTCGGCGGCTGCCTTGTGTGTCTATTTCTTCCATTTGCGTCGAGTGGAGGTGTCCCTGCCTGAGGGCACGTCGCTGTCTGTGGCAGAGTATGAGGGGCTGCTCGACCTCATGGGCAATGACAGAACAGAACTCACCTCAGTATACCGGTATGCAATCACACACACACACACAGAGAGAGAGAGAGAGAGATCTGTGTGTGTGTGTGTGTGTGTGGCGTAGGTCGTCTGTGCATGGCACCATTTACGATGACCTGCTGGACAGTGTGGGCGACGCAGAGCCTCTCGTGTTTGTCATCAGAAAGGACAAGTACGTCTTCGGCGCCTTCAGCAATTGTGGTCTGGAGCTGCCCGACGACCCCACCGGCGTGCACCACTACGACTGTGATTTTGATTTGTGGTGGTTCTCGCTGGCCGGCCACTTTGAACAGCCGACCAAGATCGACATCCCCCGACTGGTGCAGCATGTGATAGTGGCGGGGAGGGAGGGGAGTTGGTATGGTGCGAATATGTACATCGGTGGGTATCTGGTGTTGGGTGACGACGAGAACAGTGACAATCTGTGGCTGGGTGTCAGTGGCCGGCCCGCTGCCGACATCCGCAGCTGCTATCAGTACACCTACAGCCGCGATGTGCCTGCGGGCTACATGGGGGTGAGAGACAGCGACGACGATGCTCTGCTGGGCGGGTCGAAGTATTTCCATGCGGATGAGATAGAGGTGCTTCACGTGATGGGGAATAGCAGGTGAGGAAGGGGGCATGTGTCGATCTCTGCCCTTCAGCACACATCATCGCCGTCAGCCACCTGCATCCGCTCAGATGACACACGCCACACAGAGAGAGGAGACATCTGTGCGTGTGAGTCCCGCCTGTCCCGCTGTGTGTCCATCTGTCTCTGCGGACCAGTTGTTGGAGTGCCCTCACTCCTTTGTCACACCGCTGCACCTCACACACCACACGACGTCTGCAGCACACCACACACAGATCCAGGCACCAACCGTCCAGACAGCACACGCATCATTTCGGCGTGTCACGCGCCCGCCGTGTGCATGACGTCCGCCTTGATTACGCACCTGTGTGTGCCGCCAGCAGCCGCCTGTGTGCCGAGGGGACAGCTGACAGATCTCGTGCAGTGGGCCGTCAGTAAGGCTGACAAGGAGCCAATTGGCAGACCCGGGGTGGGGCAGGGCGCTGAAGAGGGTGACAGGGTAGGGTTTAAACCCTGAACCCTGCTAGCAGTTGTGGCGGCCGTCTGTGCCTTTCGGACAGCTGTGCATTGCGAGTGTGGCGCATTCGGCCGAGAGAGCGGCTTAGCGAATCAGTGGAGTCATCCGTCACACCGCCGCCCTGTCGACTGATGTGGTGGGATGGCGGGCCGCTGAGCTGACACACAGCAGAGGTGATTTGGAAGCCACACACTCACTGACCCATTCAGTCACCTCAATGCGTTGACCTTCTTTGTCTGTGAGCATCTCTCTCTCTGTGTGTTGTCGGCTCATCAGTCACTGCAGCCGTGTTGGTTCGTTGATGGCGGCCTCCTCATCTGCCGCTGCTGCTGCCGCTGGTGGTAGCTCATCGTCGGCCAACAAGGCGCCATGCGGTCAGTCAGTGAGCCACCACATCCATCCATCCAGCCAGCCAATGAAGGCATGTTTTATCTGTGTGTGTGTGCGGTGTAGGTCACCAGTTCCACTGGCCATGCATCAACAATCGCAAGTACGGCATCCCCGGCGGAGCATCGCCATCGACAACAGTGTCGGCCAAGTGCAGCGGCCGATGTGGGAAGGACAACAGTGGCAGCGTACTCAGAGTGGACGGTGAGCAGCACACCATTTGACGCACAGGCTAAGGCATTTGGTGAGGTGGTGTGCCCTCTGTGTCCCTTCAGGCCATTCGGTGTGTGCAGGGGTGAGCATCCAGGACGATCTCTGTGTGTGAGTGTGGCGATGGACGGCGGTGGAGCCATTCACTCACTCATCAGTGTGTCCTCTCTCTCCTTCAGTGTGTGGTGCAGCGCATTAGATACGGACACCCCGGCGACATCTGCCCCGTCTGCAGGTAAACACACAGACACACACAGACACACACACAGAGAGAGAGAGAGAGAGATGATACACAGCTGTGTGCTCCCCATGTGTGTGTAGGGCCGCCTTCGCGTGGGCGCATGGCCCTCGGGGTGTGTCATTTGTCGCTGCCCGTCCCTGCTGGCCCATTGGCAGCTCCGTCGGCCTGTCGTATGTGGCGCACATCGCCAAGTGGCTGGGCGGCCACACGTCACTCACACTCATCCACAGGTACACTCACACAGACACATGGCCTTCTGATGAGTGTGTGTGTCCATCAGGTCGTTGCGTGACGGCTCGGCCTACGACGATATGCTGCGGTGTGTGGGCGACAAGAGGGGCCTGGTGTTCATCATCCGAAAGGACCAATGCGTCTTCGGCGCCTTCATCACTGCCGGCATCCGACTGCCCGACGACCCGACTGACACCAAGTGGTACAAATACGGCTGTGACGTATGGTGGTTCTCGCTGGCCGGCCACTTTGAACAGCCGACCAAGATCGACATCCCCGGAAGGGAGCAGTATGTGGCGGTGGCGGGGAGGGAGGGGAGTGTGTATGGTGCGTATGTGTTCATCGGTGGGGGTCTGTATTTGGGTGACGGCCGTGGCAGTGACCGGCCGGCTGCCGACATCCGCAGCTGTGCACAGCTCACCCACAGCCGCGATGTGCCTGCGGGCTATGTGGGGGCGAGCAATAGCTATCAAGATAGCTATGGCAGTGCTATGCTGGGCGGGTCGTATGAGTTCCTTGCCTTTGAGATAGAGGTGCTGCACGTGGGCGGGCAGTGAGTGTCCGTGTGGGGTGCATCCGCTTCTCGACGTGGGCGGGGCATGAGGGCGGCAGGTCAGTGACAGAGGGAGGGGGAAGGATGTGTCTGTGTGTGAGGTGGCTGTCATGTGATTGCTCTCTTCTCCCCATCCAACGCTGCACAGAAATTCCCATGGACAGGAGGGCTCTCTGGATGTGTGTGTTTGTATGCCGCCCGAGCTGTCTGTGTGATCAGCTTCCTATGTATCCCTTCCATCGCTTCTGAGGCCCAAAGAGACTGACTCACTGATGTGATCGACTCAATGCACCTCAAGCTGCATCTGTCGTGTTGATCTCTGTGTGTGTATGTCAATCTGATGGCCCCGCCACACTCTCTGACTCCCTCTCCGTCCGTATGCCCCGCACACACAGACCGACAGAAACAGTCAACACAGACAGACCCAAACGAACCCAAACAACCCCACGACGGCCACACACACTGCCAGCCGAGCAGATCACAGAGACAGACAACCATTGGATGTCTCTCTATCTCTCTCACTCACACACAGACCCACATGACATCTTTCCTCTGTCTGTCATTGGCCATTTCTCAGCCGGCGATCGGCTTAGGCACTGATGTGAGACCGATGCAGTGCAGTAGGGCCGCCTTAGCTATGGCGCCGCTGGACGGGCCGATGGGCCAAATTGTGGGCGTCAGTCAGGTGAGCGCATTGACTGTCATCAATCACCTGGCCGGCAATGGTATAGTCTGCACACCGACGAGTGGCCTGGCCACTCCTTTGTGTGTGCGCGTGTGTGTCTGTCAGCCGCTCGACGGCCACCACACACACAGAGTGACGATGGACACTCACTGTGTGACGTGGCCATGGCCTGGGAGACAGCCAGCACACCGACACACGCAGGCAGGCAGCATCAAACAAGCGTCTCAATTGCAATCCCATCTCCCTCATGTGCGGGAGTTTCCTGTAAAGGCGTCTCCTGGTTCATCTGAATAAATGTCGGTCAAGCTGACATTGTCAACAATTCAGCCAGTCACGTCCGTCAACAATGACACCGAGATGCATATATACACATACAGACCTGTATGTGTCAAACAGACAGCGAGTGACGTGAAAGAAAGATACGTATACACAGCACAGCCATCATGGCGGCAGCATGCAGTAAGGAAACAACACCGTCAGCGTGCAGCTATGCACCCAAGGCATGATGTCGAACAAGTCAACACGCCAAAAGCACTTAAGTGTGTGTGTGTGTCTGTCCGTCAGCCGCTCGATGGCCACCGCACACAGCGAGCGATGATCAACACTCAATGTGTGTGCTGACCACTCAGGAGGCAACAGTCAGCACACCGACACACGCAGGCACGACACACACACGCCTGTGTCGGTCAACGGGCCACAAAAGGAGGCGTACGTGCGAATAATGCACACAGACAGACAGACAGGCACCCACTCATTAATGTGTGTGTGTGCGGATCGAGTAGTGAAATGGAAAGCCTCACATGAATCAGTAAAGATAACATACAGACAGATAAATGCATTCCTCTGTGTGTGTGTGTGTCCATTCATTCCCTCGCCCGCCCCTCTGTGCGCATCTCTGTCACCGCCCGGCAACCCTAAAGCACCAACACCCTTCATGGGCTGACGCTCTCCAGTTACCAGCCGGCATCAAAGATGCCCACAGAGAGAGAGGGGAGGACACACACGAGGAAAACCAAAACTCTCTCTCTCTCTCTCAGCCAGGCAGATCAGTGTG